TAGGGGGACTGGGGATGTGAATCAGTGGTTAAGTCCCTGGGTTCAATCCCTGGTACTAAACAAACAAACAAATAAAAATTGGATTGCTGGCTTCTTTCTCATAGTCTCTGATTTAATAGGCCTGGAGTGGGGTCCATAAACTGACTTTTCTAACAAGATAAAGAGCATTCTGACTGTCCTCCTTGAGAATCAGGAATTAGAATAAGGTCTTTCCATCCCTGAAACTTCTGGTGGCCCGGCTGGGATTTGGAAGTAGAAAGATGACTCTCATGCTTGGAATTCTGGGTTCAGGCCTGCTAACTGGTAGGGTAAGGGTACTTTCTGGGTAAGAGAACAAAAATGAAGAGAACAGTCACATGCAAGTGAAAGGAGGAAATAATGACATCTCCTTAGATTGAAGTTTTCACCATTAACAATAATCCTTATAAACCCCAGAATGCTGTGTGGACAATTATCACCTCCCTCTACAGACAAGGAAAGTGAAACTCAGATTAACTTGCTTTGAATCCTGCAGCTGGCCAGTGGGGAGAAGGACAGAAGCTCAGGTGGGCCTACCTATTGGATTGCTGCCTTGGAAGCACAGTGGCTGAAGCAAGACTAACCTGGATATGAATTCTCCTCCACTACTTACTAGCTGGGCATTCTCTGCAAGATGCTCAACCTCTCTGTGCTACTACAAAATGGAGGTCCTAGGAGTCCCCAACTCATTGGGTTGCTGTCAGGATTAACTGAATTGAAACTCTGATGTGCTTAGGAGCAGTACCTGGCACATAGAAAGGCAATGTAAAATTTTGGTTTATTTAACCTTGTCGGCCATCAGACTGCACACACCGAAAGTAGAAAGTTCAGAGAGAGTCCAGTACCCAGTGACAGGGTAGGCAGAAACACTTGAAAAACTGTAAGAGCCTCGGGTGGAGGGAGCCTTGGCTTCATCGGTGGTGAGGGAATGGCCTCATTTAGAAGCCTAATTAAGCTGCTCTGCCCGCTGGGTCTTAACTCCAGGGCCAGACTTCAGACTTACCAGTGCGGGTCCCAAACCTCTCTCCCCACCGTCACTACCCCCACCCAGGCGCTCCGGGTTTCCTGCCCGTCTGAGGCCCCTGAGTGGGGCGGGTGGAGGAGGGGTGGCATTTCCTGGCCAGGCCGAGGGCCGCGTCACCCTCTCATGGACGCTCGGACAACTAGCTGACCGACAGGCACCAGATGCTATTTCGGGCGGCGCCTGGCTAAGCGCTCAGTTTCCGTTTTTCCACCCACTGTCGGAAACTGGGGAGGGGAGGGGTGTAGACATCACGAGCCCCCAGCCCCAGGCAGCCCCAGGTGGGGGCTTGGGGACTTGGGCAGGGACAGCTGGCAGTCTGATAGAGGAGATCGCGTTTGTGTGGAGGAGGGGGATGGCGAACGCCCGCTCCCAGCCCTGGAGACAGACGCCTGGACACACCCTCTGCCTTTCCACCTGTCCCCACTTCTTCAAGACAGCTCTTCAATGTGTAGGGCAGGGTTCTTTCATGCCCTGTAAAATAACCCACAGTCGGCAGGTGCCTCAAAGGCATCTAAACTCAGGGAGTTCAAAATAAAAAGCAGAATCCCACCCCCTGCTCTCTGGTCTCCAGAACTCTCCCCCCATCTCAAGGAGGACTCACCTATCTCCAATATGACAGCCACACTCCACACTCCTGGATTCCTCCCTCCTTCTTGCCTGCCAGACCCAATTCCTTCAAACCTAGTTTTACATCCTACATAAATGCCATCTTCTTCCAGCACCTAGAACAAGCTCTAATTCTCCCTCCCCAGACCACTACACTGGCCCCAGAACTGGTCTTCCAGAATCCTTCCCATCCCAACTCCACACTGCAGCCAAACAGTCTTCTAGAAAAGCATATGTGATCCTATATAGGGCACTGGACACCGGACAAAAGGTTCCAAACAATCCTTAAATTGTCCATAGGCTTGCTCCATTCCTATTGAATTCTTTTCTGTTCCGTTCATGAACTTATGGTCCTTTTGCTTCAGCCCTTGGTCCAGGCCTCATTTTCTTAGGGAAGCAGTCCCCAGCTGGACTCTCCAATATGGGATTGGCAAATCTCTTTTTGCAGGGGCTTGCATACATGAAATGACTTACCCAAGAGTCCCATAGCCCAAGAGTGACAGATTGGGTTTCTAACTCATAATTACATGGATCTCACTCTTTCTATTAAGTGTCACAGCCAAGGAAAGGTGTGTGTGTGTGTGTGTGTGTGTGTGTGTGTGTGTGTGTATCACAGATCACAGGTGGCCTTCCACTGTGGGGTTCTGTGAAAGTTACCTGTATCCACACAGCAGCTGACTTTCATCAGAGAGCACAGGAAGAGGAGACAGGCTGCACTGAAGTAACTGCACCTTCTCAGGGAGTCATCCACACGACCTTGGAGGGACCAGAACTCAGAGAGGGGTACAATTTGGGATCAGTCCTTGACTGGAACTCAACCTATGACTGGACAGATGAGGAGCTTTTCCCAGTTCTCACACTCCAAAAAGAGCCCAAACTGGAGACAGAAGAGGGACAAGCAGCCTGGCACGATGAGAAAAATTGTGACTGGGAGTTGGACAATGAGCTTGATTGCTGGCTTTTCTTCTGGGTCACTAAGTTTGGGCCAATTTACATCTCTTTTTGCCTTATTTTTCTTCTCCATGATGGTATCCAGATCTCCTATGCAAGTGCATACGATGTTTTCATGGGCTGTGGGTTGGTTAAGTACATAGACTATCACCCACCACTGCCACCTTTTAAAGGTCATTGTATTTATTCTCACAACTTTGTGAGGCAGAAGTTATCTCCCTGTTTTATGGAGGAAGAAAATGAGGTTTGGAGCTAAATGGCTAAAATTTGAGCCTGTACTCCTTCCACTCCTACATGAAAGAATAAATTCATATATTCTCCATAGGTTGAGCCCTAGTTACCCAGTTGGCACTGTACTCCACTTCCTGCTGTACATTATAGATCTTGTCTGGAGTACTCGACCACTGAGCCACATTCCCAGCCCTATTTTGTATTTTATTTAGAGGCAGGGTCTCACTGAGTTGCTTAGTGCCTGCTGTTGCTGAGGCTGGCTTTGATCCTCCTGCCTCAGCCTCTGGAACTGCTGGGATTACAGGCATGCGACACCATGCCCAGCCCAAACTAAGTTCTTAACGCCCCATTTTAGCTGAGACTCCGGGGCTAAATTTCCTTCAAACCCAGGCTCCACCACTCACTAGAAATGTAACATTGGGAAACATTATATTTTACTCTGTGCCTCAGTTTCCTCATCTGTAAACTGAGAATAACAAAAGCACCCATTCCTCAGGACTGGTTATGAAAATTAAAAATATTTGTAGAGTACTTAGTATTCAGGTTAAAGTGTTTGTTAAAAATATTATGGGGGAGTGGTGATTGTGGGCACTGGGCCTAAGCCTGAAATCAAGCAGAATGAATATTTTAATCCCCTATTGACTTCAATCACTCCAACCCTCTTAGAGCCCCCTTGGGTTTGTGCTACTGGCTCCATTTTAGAGCAGAAAGGGGTGGAAGGCCAGAGAGGAGTTGGGGGGCTTTCTGAGATAAGAGGAACTGTCCACTGAAATCCGGGTGTCTAGGACACTGGAGAAAGAATGAAGGAAGGAAGAAGAGTCAGCAGGTGATGGTTTGGGATGTCTTGGTGGTCTTCAGAGGCACAGAGTGTTGGGATGAGAGTCGCCAAAGAAAGGTATCTGGAAGGCCGAAGGAATGAGTGAGATTGTAGGAAGCCAGGATTCGTGAGAGGTCCCCGGGATGAGAAATGGGGCTGAACCCGCCCGGTCGTAGACAGCGCGCTCAGTTCTCTCGGTGGCGCATTCCGGAGCCGGTCCCAGCGCCGCGCAACCAGTCCCCACTCCCTCCGGTGAAATTGCCAAATTAAAATGAATCATTTGGCCCATAATGGCCGAGGCGCTTATCGGGGGCGGGCGGACCCGCGGCAGTGCCTTATCTCCGCGGCGCACACGGCCCCGGCGCGCCTCGGCCCATGCTAACGAGGCCTGGAACGTGAGCGGGATTAGAGCGCGGTGGGGCAGGAGCCGGGCGCGGGCGGGCGGGGGAGCGGACTGCGGAGGGGCCGGGCCTCCATAGCCAAGGAGCAGGCCTCAAAATGGCCACACGCGTCCCCCCGTACGGAAAAACGTGAGCATTCTGGCCTTTTTGTTGGGGAGAAGCGACCTCCCGCCTCCCACGGAATTCCTCGTCAGTTTCCTCCCTCGCTCCCCACACCCGCAGAAGATGCCTGCGCTCCCTTTCTTCGGTTTCTTTAGACGGGGGGGGCATTTTCCACGGACACCCCCGCCCTCGCCGTCCCCCTCCCGCCTCTGAGACTCTCTTCCTTCCTTCCCCTTTTTCCTTACGCAATATACAGAAATGCGCGAGGCGGTGGTTGGTTTTCATTTCTTCTTCGTGGTTGTGTGCATGCGGTGGGATTGTGAGAGTGCGTGTGTGTGAGCTGTGGGCGATGTTGGCTGTTTCCGAATGTGGTCTTTTGGGCGATAGGTTGCGTGTCCCCGTGCCATGGTGCCTGCACTGTTTGGGTGTGTAGATTTGGACCCCCTCGAGGCCCTACTGCCGTTTATTCGTTGTGTGTGTAATTACGCCCGTTTCCTTTCTCAACTGGAGTCGGGTTCTGCCTGTTGGGTTTGTGTGGTCTTGGCGATTGTGTTTGGGTGGCTTCGTTGTTAGGTCGCGCCTGTGTGATCCTGTGTCGGGTTGTGTGTCCGTGAGTGACTGTGTTTAACTGATTTCGTTGTGTCATGTTGGGAAGCGTGCGGGTCTGACCATGTCGGCTTGTGGGGCAGTGTTTGGTTGTGTTTATTTGCTTCCCTCCTATGAGGCTGGACCTTGTGTGGCCCTGTCCACACCGAGCTGTGTGCGTGTATGCCTGTGTCCTTTAGAGGTGCATTTGCAAATCGCTGGGGGCGGGAGTGGGGGAGGGTGAGCGAGAGATCCAGGCGCTAGTGGGGACGTCGGCATGGGGGCGGGGAGCGGGATTTCACATTTTATTCCAAATTATGATGTATTCGGGAGCCAGTGTTGGCTTGGATGGGCGGACAGAGCCCAGTCGGCTGCTGCTCTGTCGGGAGGTCAATCTGCGCCTCGGTGTTTGAAGGGTTCGTTGGTGAGTGGGAGGCTCTTCCAAGCTCGAAGCTGAGCAGCGCTTGCAGAGGCCCGCGCCTTCCAGCCGGTAGCCGCCGGCTTGGGTTCGCGCCGCACTCCGGCTTCGCCCATTTCTGGTCAGTTTCGCGGGTGCGGCCGGCAGCGGTGGTCTAGAAGGGAGGCCCGGTAAGGACAATGGATGCATTTTTCCAAGGCCTTGCGCCACGGGTGGGGGCCCTCGGGATCACCTCCGGGGGACATTTTCCTACCCTTTTCTTCATAAGCGACGTTACCTTGAGGGTCAGATGCCTGTCGCATGGGTGACCACAGCCAAATTCGGGCTTCTTGGAAGAACGGGGTCAGTGCTGCCCTGGCTGGAGAAGAAAGGATTTTGTTTTGCCAGTTGTTGTGATTGCCAATGTCATCATCATTATGATCATCATCATTAGCATCCTATTTTAATTAAAAATAATCGTCCCAAAGCGCGGCAGCAAGTCCCTTTAGCTTCTTTGGAAGGAGAACAAAGCAGCGCAGTCCTGTTACCCCCCGCCCTTCAGTTTTGTTTTCAAGTTGTTGGGTTTGGGGTAGGGAGAGAAAATGGAGGGGTCAGACAGAGATTCAGTCATAAAGCAAACACAACCCCGAAATAACACACCGGGGATGGGTGGGTTCCCCTCTTTCTTTCTTTCTCCATTTGGATTAGGAGAGGAGAAAGAAAATCGCCCGCATTGGATCAAAATTCGAGGAAGAATTATTCCTGTATTTTCACCAGAGCTCGGCAAAAGGAAGGAAGCCTTTGCAATTAATCCAAGACTTCGATGTGATCATAAACTGGACAATTTAGGCAAAACAAATTAAACAAAACCCACAGGGGGAAAAATAAAAGCAAACTAAATCTGGCTACACCCCTGGAAGCAGTATCCGGTTGGTTTTTAACCCTCCTTCCCTTTTGCCTTATTTATTACTGCAACAAATTACTAGAATTCCCCCTATTCTGCCTGTCTAAACCCCGAAAAATCAAAAACCATTTTGTAGGGCTGGTGGAGGGAAAGATGAAGAATTTACCCCCTCTATTTCTCTCTCCCTTACTCACTTTACTTACCCTAACTTACTTACTTACTTTCGTTCTTTCTTTTATTCTTTCTGTTAGAAGGGAGGGGGGAAAAGGACCTGAATTTATCAGACACCTACCCACCCCCAATCCGGACTCCATTCCTTAAGGGAAATAGAGCCCTTGGAATCTGGTTCTGGTTTCGCTTTGGGCTGGAGGTGGGTAGATCGGGGTCAGGAGAGTTCCTGGAGGAGGGGGTTGGACTTGGTGTTCTGCCCCACAGATCAGGGCCTGGAGAGACTGACTATTCACCTTCCCGGACACATACCCCCCACCCATCCACGTCTGGCCAGGGAGACCCTTATGCACTGTGGCCAGGGCTTGGCTCCGGTTGCAGGGTAAACTGCGTAGACACGTCCATGCTTAGAAAACAAATTTGACCATACCAAACCAGTCCGATCCCATTTGGAGGGTACGAAAATGTTCTGGGCAGCCTGCCGGGAGGGGTTGTTGTTGTTGGACTAAATAGTTATTCCTGATTGGTTAGGCGTAGTGTTCATTTTTAAGGGGAGTGGGGAAGGCTCCAAACACCTGCAGGTTGGGGGCGGAAAGCAGTTCGTGATTCTATGGGCTGGTTGGTGGGGGACATGAGGTAACTCCCAGCCATTGACCCCCATTTCTCTCTCGCCCTCCCTTTTTCTCTCCACCCCCATCGTTCCTGGAAACTCGCTTTGGGCGCGGCAGACCGGCCAGGACCACGCCGCAGTCCAACTAACTGCTAGTCTTTCTGCGAGAGAGGGGGAAAGCAAAGACCCCTGGCCACAACCTTGACCCCTCTCCTCCTGCGGAGGAGTGAAGGTCCTGTTCAGAGGGGCCAGTCTCTCTAAATATGCCCCAGGTGAGTTTTGGGGTGGGGTGAGGTGGGGTGAGGGTGTTAGAGGAAAGAGTATCCGGGAAGGCCTTGGGATTCCTGCTTGAGATGGGGAAAGCTCAGGAAGAGAAGAGCCCAGTCTTAGATTGGGACTGGACAGGACCAACACAAGGTTGGGAAATTCAGCTGCCTCTGGCATCCAGCAGGGCCCTTCCCTTTTTCCGGTCTCCAGTAAGACCAGCTGGTGGAATAAGTCCTCCCGGCAGCTCTCATCCTTCTGGGTTCTGTGGACATTTCACAAGGCCGGTTACTCTGTAGAGGCTATATCCGGGTGGTTTAGACTATGCCTGGAGCTCCTGCAGGAAGAAGGCCCAAGCCATCCTGGCTGCTCTGGTGAGCCCTTGACACAGGGCCTGAGGCCTAGGGCCTGTAGTGCTGAACACCCCTCCATTCGGTAGCAGCAGATATTGATGGATTTGGTTCCGATGTGGACTTTGGGCTCCTCCAGAGTGTCCTGCTGGTGCCGATGCAGTAGGAGGGATTGGAGGCCAGTGTACGGTGGTGGCTCTAGTCCGGGGCCCTTTTTTTTAATCTAAGAAAGTCTTCATGCCAGAGAATGGAGGGTTGAGATCTGCTGGAGATGGGGTATCTCGTTGTTCAGGCACACACTGAAAGGCTCTGCTGTTTGGCAACTGGAGTGTGAGGATTTGGAGTTGAGGGCTGCAAGCTGGATTTCTACTGCACAAAGAGAAGAATTGTAATGGTAGAATAGTCTAGTGCCATTCAGTCCTAACCCTCCCTACTTCTGCATCCTCTCCAAATAAAAATCACTCAGGCTTTCCTTTCAGTTATCTTAACTGAAGCCAAGTGATGCAGTTTTGTCCTCAACAACTATATGCGTTTGTGTTATCTGGTGGCTTTCTTCTGGGTATGGACCCCTGGCTGGGGTGATCCTGGGCTCAGAAGAGCTAGCTGGGTTTTTCTGAAGTCCAGGAGAGGGTGCAAGGAGAGGCCTCCCATAGACTCCCAAGGCCAATCTATGTCACTAACAGGAAAATTTGGATATATGGATATTTATAGGCATCTGGAGAGGACCACGGGGGCCAGGGTCAACTCATCTGGAATATTTGCTCCTTTTGCCTCTCAGGAACTTGCTTCTACTGCTTCAGGGCAGAATTAATCAGAGTATACATGTGTCATAAGAGAGTTTGAGCTCAATTGGTGATTGGAGTGCACACTATATGTCATTCAGAAGCATATGTCATAGGGTATACACTGATGGTGGTGACTTTGAAGTAGGGAGCTAGCACCTCTGGGCTTGTATGTTTCACCAAGGACTATATTTCTGTACTTCAACAGGGGTGGGGTAGGGAAGCTAGGATGCCTGTTTTTTGCTTTTGGTTCATTTCCAGGGGCCTGAGTGTCTTCGTTGTGGCATTCTGTGGATACAAACCTTTATTTCCTTTGTAATCAAAAGTCACTTTCAATGAAGCATTGCAGATGCACTGCCATTGCTGCTTGTGTACACAAAATCTTGGGGAATTTTGTCATTTCCAGGCTAAGTGGGGGACTGGCAGACCCAGCACAAGCATGCAGTCTGAATTTCAGTTCTCT